TGTTCATCCAGGTTAGAAACAGGTTTACCTTTTATGGCTAAAATCTTGGCCTCATTTTTTTTTTTTTTGAGCATTAAGTTTTCCCTCTGTATACAGGTTCTTATATACATGGCTGCTAGGGTGGTCGTTCTGCTTGCTCTTTGCTTGTGCCCTTTTATGTTTGTATCATTTCTTTTTCATTTAGTTGTTGCATTTGAGATGCAGTGAATATAGTGATTAATGTGATTTTAACAGAATAATACTATATGTTCCTTTTTTGGAATATAAAAAATTGGTAGGGTACTATTTAACAAAATTGTTCTTTTGTTGGCTTATACTTACAGAAGGTGTCGCAGTTCATGACTCGTGCTGCTCGTCTTAACGAAGCATTTTCAGTTGTAAGACGTGTCCCCATTATACGGCCTTCACTACCCACTGCTGGGGTGAATCCATGGCCTGTGATGAGTTTGAGGTAAAAGGTAATACTGTGAGAAAAAAAAAACAAAAGAGCAAGGAAACTGGTGTCCACAAGGTAAGCTATAATATTATGTTTGCTTTTGCTGTGTTGTTGTAAGGATGATTGATTTCAGTTTACACTTTTCTTTATGTATGGGTTCTGAAATTTGTTCAGTATGTAAATTTCAGACTGTAATTTGTTTCAGTACCCTTTATATATTAAGACCTTAAGCCAATATCATATATGCAAAATCTTGCTATATGCAGTTCACAAGCTTGGTTTAGTTGGATAGTCCACTCCCTGCCCCCCCTTCCTTTATATCATTTTCTCTTTTACATTGATGATGCCTATGTGCCTACGACCTGCAATGGTCTGAAAGAAACAATGTATAAAGTCAATGCTTTGCAGCTCTGAAACAAAGAACACATAACTTGAATCCGAGCCCACTCGAAATGAGATAAATTTTAATTTAAAGTAACTTGAAAGTAAGTGATTTGATCTTTGATTTAGTTCGACTTAAAGTGATTCGAAATGATCCGATATTTGTGGTGATTTTGAACTTGAATTGATTTAACGTGAAATGATCCGTAAAATCACATGAAGCGAATCGAGTTGAAACTCAAAATGAAACAAATTCTAAAAGATCTAATCATGTTTATATATCTAAAATATTTGATATATAAAATATTTAATGCTTATTTTCCAGTAAAATAATTCCCAAAAAGAAAAATATATGTTTAAAAATCACTCAAAAAAACATTTAAAAAGATTAAAAAATTAAAAGCTTTATTAATATATATATTATAAATAAACTTTTGTAATAATCACCAAGTTGTTGTAAAGATATTATATGTTTTATTGGATTGAGATTGGCTTACGTATTTATGAATCCTCATCTTCTACTCTAGTGGCACTAAACCTCCAGAATATTTCATCTAAAATCAACTAGCAACGTGTTAATTAGAATATTTCGAATTTATTATTAAAATTAAAATATGAATTATTGTGGATGAAAAAGGGCAACAAGAAACACGTGCATGCTTGGATTTGTCGTGGCTGTTTCCATATGTGGGAAAAAAGTCAAATTTGTGATTCCTAATTTCATGGGAAAGTCCCTGTTTCCGTCGCAAGGAAAAGCAAGTTTCTAGGTTTCACTAGGGCACGCCCGTATGATGCACTTTCATGTAATATAGATATAAAATAATATTTATTAAAATATATTTATATTTTAATAATTATATAATATTTATTATGTATAAATATTTATAAAACCATTTATCTAACGAATATTCTTTTACCTTGTAAAAGATATGTCATCAGTGTTATATCATCATTAGTCGCAAATAACTCTCATTTTTTTAGGAAAGATACTTGACTGTTGAGTCAAAATTTATAATTCTTAATTGATATTACTGAATGCTTTAGTTTGTGTTTTTTAATATGAAAAAAATCTACTGAATCCATTACTTGAAATATTTGGTACTATTTGTACATTATTTCATGAATGTGCCCATTCATGTGAATCTATGGCTACTACACACTTTTTGCTAATATATTCAACAGAATCTAAGTTTAGTTCTTCCTCATCATACATAAAAGTAAATTGTTTGTCTAATTGATTAAAAAGGATATGTGAAGGAACTAAAATAAAATAATCTATTGTGATTATGTTAAAACATCGTAAACAAAACTTGTAATAAAGAAAAAGAAAAGTGATATAGGATAACGTGTCATATACTTATAACTTGCATATACAAAACATATATACGCAAGTATGAAATATATTTGAATGGAAGTTAGAAAATAATTTTTAAATAAAGTTAAGTTAAGGATTACAAGCTTGATGAGTACGTATCAAAATGTCTACATAAAATAGTAGTTAGCAATTAAATTGTGGATACAAAAGGCAATAATAATAGCAAGAATTATATAAAATTCAATATAAAAATTAAAAGGGTAAAATATTTTGACCTTTTTAAATTTTAATCGAAATTACATGAAAGTTTATTAGTGTTCAAAATGGACACTCTGTACCAAAAGCACAAATATCGTTAACAGAAGTTATGAAAAAATTAAAATATTTTTTTTCTTTATTAATTTAAAAAATTAGTAATTTTTTTTAAAAAAAGCATCGATCGAGACTCCGCAAGAGAGCTTCAGTGTTCCTTGATGGGGAGCTCTTTTTTTAATTAATTAAAAATAAAAAAATAAAATTATATAATAGTAATTATATAAATTAATCAAAGATAAAATTATCTTTGTACTCTTACCATGTCAACAAGTTGATATAAATATTAGCAATTGACTAACGGCTGGACTTACGTATCTAACGAAAAATATTTTTTTAAGATAGAATGTCTATTTAAAAAACTAATAAACCTTCGTGTAATTTCAATTAAAACATAAAAACATAATGTATTTTATCCAAACTAAAATAACATGGATAAAAATTATGTTGAATAATTGCATCCACTTACAATGTTGGACCCAACTTTGTCTTGATCCAGCTAAGGAAAAAAAAAGGTACATGTTAGTATAATATAATGAAAATGTAAGGTAAAACAGCGTGGGAATCTAGAGTCTAAAAACAAACGAAAAATAGAAAGGTTGAGAAACCAAAGAGAAGGAAAGTTCTGAATATTGAAGAGCAAAGACAGAAAAGGCCTCCAAAAATGAGGCAAAGCTCAATTATGTCTCACAACAACTCTCACTCAGCACCACGTGTCAACTCATCTTGGGTAATATTTTTTAGGGTTGGTTGAAAATAATTTGATATTAGTAAATTTAATATTTTATTTTTTAAAATACTTAAAATTTTAAAATATTTTAATAACAAAAAACTTAAATAGACTCAAATGAAGGAAATGAGTTTGAGCTTTTAGGTGTCAATTGAGTTCGACTTGATTCGTCCCGGTCATCTTCGTCCTCTAATTACAACCTAGTACAATGAATTTATTTTATATCAATTAATGGTTGCTCCTTAATTTGGTTATGAGATGTTGGCAAGACAAACTGAAATAAATGCGAAACTTGATTTCAACCACAAATGTGAGTATGGTGGTTGCTAGTCCATTTCTTTGTTTCTGTCTCTTGTTTTCTAATGAGAGAGTCCAATATCATCAGGTGAATTCACCCATCTAGCCGCCCTTCCTCTCTCATTGTCAATCCTTCCCATGTGGGATTGCCAAATTCTCAACCTCAATACCTCTGATGCTGAATCCGTACCTGTTCTTGGAGTCCGTCACTCCTTGGGAGATGGCACATTTCTCATGTCACTGTTAATCTCTTGCTCTCATAAACTATCAGACCCTCTCGTATTGCCAACTTTTCCAGCAATGAAGAAGAAACTAATGACTACTACTACTTGGTCATGGGCAACATAAGCATAGCTTACAGAGGCCGGCACTTCTAAGCGCAAAATGAAGAATTATGATAGACCAACTTGTTTTCTTTTCTCAATTTCCCACTCCAGCTCTTTGATCATTCATTAAATATATGGCAAATGAATGGTTTGATATGAAACAATTTTAATAACTGTTGTTCATGGACTGATGGACTTCATCAGTTAAGCATGTGCAGTCGTCTATACTCTTCAAAAGGTAGTGCTTGATTGTGTATACTCTTCATCAGTTAAGTCTGACTGTTTGTATACGCAGTGGCACACGGTAAAGGAAACAGACTTACTTCCTCCTTGGTGCCACTGCGTATACAAACAGTCAGACTTAATTGTGTTGATTTTAGGTTGAGTATTCAAATTAAATTCAAATGGTTATAGGCTATAGTATTCCTCACTGTGTTTTTGTATTTGGAATGTCCCATTTCCTTGAAGCACATCTGTTTCTTTTCTCTTGCCTTCTAACTAGATCTGTCCATGAGACGAGCTACTAGACATGGTGTAAGTACCAAAATTTATGTGCATTGGTATATATACATCTAAAGAAAGGAATAAAAATGAAGTAAAGAATAATGAGTCACTAAGCTGATTTGATTATAAAGTGAATAATGGAAGAACACTAACCAATGGAAAAAGCTGTGTGCTTCCCAAGTTGAAGTTATGAAACGAAAACTTTTATTGATAACCCAAAAGAGAAGAAGATTTTGAGTGTTGATTGCATGTATCATCATTGCATTGCAATCAAAAGGGAAAAAAAATATTGTTCTCTTCTCTCACCATTGGCTATGGAGTATTATTTCGACAATAAATGCAGCCACGGCAGATACATCATGCACCACCTTGTTCATATGGGTTTGACTTGATTCGTCCCGGTCATGCCTAGTACAATAAATGGTTAGTCCTTGAGTTATGAAGACGATTGAAAGAATTGCAAAACTTGATTTCAGCCACAAATGTGAGTATGGTGATGGCCGCTCCATTTCTTTTGGGTCTCTCTTTCTCTCTGGCTAAGGCATGCTTCATGTTTCTAATGAGATAATCAATTATCACGTGAATTCATCCATCTAGCCACCTTTCCTCTCATTGTCAATCATTCTCTTATAGGCTATAATTAAGCCTATAAATGGACACCGATCCAAAGCAAAGTAACAACATAGAGAGAGAATCAAGTTTAGTTTTCCATTCTCAATTAACTTAAAAATTTGAAGAAAAAATGGATATTATAGGTCTTAGATCAGGAAGCCATTTTGGTCTTAAGCAAATCAAAGTAACAGGGGAAATGGAGGAGGGACGGAGTGTGAGTGGTGAGGAAGAGGAGCCCTTGAGTCCCATGGCTTGTATGTTTCATGAGCCTGACTCTAACGTATATATCATTACCATTGTGGGGTTTAAAAACCCCATAGAGCCAAATAGTTTCAAAGCAAACTTGGTGCATACTTTGCTTAAGCATCCTCGTTTCTCTAGCGTGCAGGTGAGAGAATAAATGATACATTACATGCCATGCCCATGATTTTGCAAACGTTAACTTGTTCTAACATGAGCAGCACTTACAGGTTGCAGATGAGAACAATGGAGGGGAGCTGAAATGGGTTCAAACAGAGGTAGAGTTAGAGAAGCATGTGATAGTCCCCAAGGTGGATGAAGAGATGGCCTCCCAAGGAGCAGCAGATAAATTTATTGAAGAATACATCGCCAACATGAGCAAAACCAAGATCAGCATGTCCATTCCCATGTGGGATTGCCATATTCTCAACCTCAAAACCTCTGATGCTGAATCCGTACTTGTTCTTCGAGTCCATCACTCCTTGGGGGATGGCACATCTCTCATGTCACTGCTAATCTCTTGCTCTCGTAAACTATCTGACCCTCTTGCATTGCCAACTTTTCCAGCAATGAAGAAGAAACCAATGGCTACTACTACTTGGCTTTGCTTTTGGATCAGACTTTGGTCCTTCTTCCTGTTGATTTGGAACACATTGGTTGATGTGCTCGTGTGTGTCACAACATTGTATTTCTACAAAGATACACTAACACCCCTCAAACCTCCTTCAAGGAGTGTTGCTTGTACTCCTGGGAGAATCGTGCGTCGAACTTTCTCTTTGGATGATGTCAAATCAGTGAAGAATGCAACTAACACGGTTAGTGATCAACCATCTTTTGTTCTCACTAATATATGAAAACAACTTTTGATATAGATGTAACTGAAGTGTTTGTTTTTAGTTGATTTGGCTAATTAGAGTTTGCCTGAAATGTTTTTCCATTGGGCCATTTGTAGACCGTCAATGACGTCGTCCTAGCAATCACTCAAGCAGGTTTATCTCGATATCTTAACCGTAAATATAGTAAGTTTGTGAGATAACATGAAATGGAATAAAAATTCTCTATTCTCATTTGATACTAAAAACTCTAACTTCAAAAGTTTAATCCGAAAACCCTAAATTCTAAACTAAAATATGAGAAATTTAAAAAACATGTGATGCAAAATTATAAAAGGGGCACCAAGTGATGATAGAGAATTTCTATTCCATGAAATAATACTCTTTGGTTTTCAACAAAAAATTGCAGTTTGAGACCAATTATTTGCATAAAAATTTGAAGAGTGAGATCCATAAGTGTATATATATATATATATATATATATATATATATATTTATATAGTTATAAGAAAAAATAAATTAGATGAATTGGAAACAAATATTGAATTTTACAATTATTATACAAAATGTAATATGGTTTTGTCCGACTACTTACATATAGTATGTATGTAATATTTCTTCCGTTTCGTATATATTGTCACCTGTTTATTTTTTTTTTGTTGTCAAATTTAAATGTATATATATTTATTTAAATTTAATTTGATAAAATGTTTAAATTAATTTGGTTTAAAATTAAAAAAAAATTGATTAAAAAAATTCAAAACAAGACAATAAATATCAGACAGAGATTAAATAATAATAATATTTCCTTAAGATAATGATACTGTCGAACACTTTGATATTTTTTTATTAATAATTTTTCACAAAAAAAAATTAGCATTTGAAAAATTTTCATGGATCCCTATGAAACATGTGCAACCTTCCAAAGAAACATACCAGTAGCTAGTTGGTTTGAAAGCCCTATAACATGGTCTATTAATGGCAGGTAAAGCTAAGAGAAATGAAGCTGGTAGAGAATGGGAAGACAATCTTCCCAACAATATTCGTGTCAGAGCCACTCTCTTTATCAACTTGAGATCATCTCCTGGGATTTATGTGAGTAGTTTCCTTGCAGGATCAAAGGGAAAAATCATGGCTTTTGAATATACTTTAATTATCTCATTCCCTCTGTGTAAAATGAATTTGCAGGCCTTGGGTGAGATGCTGAAGAAGAATAGCAAGGCCCAGTGGGGCAACAAGATTGGCTATGTTCTCTTCCCTTTCACGATCGCATTGAAAGATAATCCGTTAGATTACATTCGTGATGTCAAGGCGGCCATGGATAGAAAAAAGGCTTCTCTGGAAGCCAAGTTCAGACTGTTAATGGCCACGGTTTTTGTGAGGTTTTATCTTACTAGAGTACGAATCATGACCCACCAACGCTTTTTCCCATTTACGTATATATGTTTGCCTCTGATTGCTAATTATGAATCCATGGACAGTTGGCTAAATTTCCCTCAACAACTATGTGGTTCTCGAACGTGGCGGGACCTCAGGACGAGATCACCATATTTGGCAATCAAGTCGCCTACATTGCCCCTTCTTTGTATGGCCAACCAGTGGTAAGTAGGTCTCCTTTCTTAAAATGTCTATATGATTAGAGAGGAAGCATTCAAACTTTATTTTTTAAGGCTAGAAGATTCGAATACTGCTCATTAGGTAAAGAGATAATGTACTAATCAATAAGCTAAATGCTCGGATACTTAAAATGTTTATATGATTAATGGCAAAAAGGATCACTTGATTGATGAGTTTGGGTTGGCATTTGAACTTTGCAGGCACTGACAATTCATGTGGTTAGCTATGCCAAGAAGATGAATATGGTGTTATCAGTCGATGACAACATTATTCCTGACCCCTACCAGTTGTGTGATGACCTTGAAGAGTCCCTCAAACTCATCAAGAAATCTGTCATTTCCCAGCAATTAAGAATAATGAAGGGCCACTTTCAGCTAGTACGGGCCATAAGTTAGGATGTGATGTTATGTGCATGAACTGTAGCCAGTTCAGTTTGTTTTAGTTCTAACTATTAAGAACTTGAGTGGTAATGCTTTGTTTAATACCATGAAAATAAGGAGTGTGCAATTCTTATATTTGCCCTCTTCTTTAATTGTAGAATATATATATATATATATATATGCATATATTTACCTTCTTCTAATATTTGTTAGGTTAGATATCTTTTCAAAAATTTAAGATGGCATTAATTCATAGCTAAATCAATCATCCAATAACGTAGCACATCCTGGTACTAAGCAAGACCTCAATGCAACACTTGACAACAACATAATGTAACCATTGATAGCAGCAAGCAGCACCATTAGGACAAGAGGACACCTTAAGATATCAGCAGGACAACAACACTATATATCAGTATATGTATGTATATATCATTAATTTGAACCAGTTAAGATTGATTGAAAAATATAAAATTTTTATGTTCAAAAATAAATGTTTGATTTTTTTTTTTTGCATGCGAGCATCCATATTAAATTCAATAGGTTATAGGATGGAGTTCCTCACTATAGTTTTGTGTTTAGAATGTCTCATTTAATTAATATGGGACTTACCTTATAATTACTTTAACAAAAAAAAAATCAGTATTTGTTTTAATATTATGTTAAATTTTTTAGTAAAATACCTTCACCTTCTTAACTTGAAGTTATAATTTGACACGGTTTATCAATTTTCACAATAAACAATCCACTCCAAACGCATGAATGACATTAACGAATAAGTATAAAATGTCAAAATTACCCTTTTTCTTTATCCCTCTTTTTCACTATTTTTTTTTTTCAAGCCAGCCGGCAGTCCTCCTCGCCGGCCACCCTGAGCCCCTCACCCCTGTGCTCCCTAGGGGAGCTGTTTGTATATTTATGTGCATAAGATCCCTAAACTTGATTGATGTAGAATTTATTTTATCATCATTTTGATATATCAATTTCATATTATTTGTCCTTATTGGCTTTCACGAAAATTTAAAAAATTTGATTTTAATATATTTAGTGTTACAATTTTATTTTTTTTTATAAAAATGACGTTTTATGGTTTTTCATTTTATTTTTTGAAAGGTATGCAATTTATTTGCTAATTGCCAAAGCAAATTACTTTGGACTTTTTTATTACAATAGAAATAAAAATAATAATAAAAAAAAAAGGCAGTAAAAGAAGCCCTAGAGCATACATCCGGGCTTAGGGATATCCGGATTTCCATAAGGAAAATCTGAAACTAACTTAGTCATTTATATTAAACCAATAGACTTTCTTAAATCCATATGCCCAAATTCTCGTGGCGTATCCAGGGACTACATTAATTCCCAGCCCCATTCCACACCATCCATGATAATAGGAATAGCTATGGAACTATATATAAATTCCACATAAGGCTAGTTATCCGGCTGCGATAATTTGTCCAATTCCAAGACACTCACATATTAGCGTTGTCCTGGTTTAAGGTTTAGGGTTTTCGTATCACCTTAAATTAAACGTTGAATAAATCAGTGTCAACTTAAAACTTGTTAGATCCATAGTCAGTTGGTATTTTTTATGCACATGGAATCACTTACATGACTTTTCTATTATGATTAAATTGGTTAAATGGAAAAACTTTTAGACCTAGATATCGTTTTAGTCGACCACATTAAACAAATCTCGTCAATTATCACCATTGTTTAAAAAAAAAAATATCGACTGTCCATAAGCTTAATTACCGTTGAGATCACGAGTCTTAAGTTACATCATTTCATGGCCAGTGCTAGCTCTTTGTTCATTCATTAAATATGACAGATGAATGATTTGATACTTCATTGCAGAAAAAGCTTTAACAACGTTGTACATAGACTGATGGACTTCATCAATTAAGCACGTGCAGTTGTCTCTCTCCATGTTTGTATGAATCATTAAAGGTTACAAAGCTTTGTTCAAGGGGACAGCATGTTGTCCCTCACCTAAAGTTTAATCACCACTCACCATGCAAATAACAAAAATGTAAAGAATGCATTAATGCTTGTCTCTCGGTTCATTTCTGAAAATGATAAGACGAAATAAAAACTACCCTTCGAAAGGTAGTGCTGCAGTGGGACACGGCAAAGGAAACAGACTTCCTCCTTGGTGCCACTGCGTATACAAACAGTCGGCTCTTTTACAAAAGGTTGCACCTGGGGTGGAACTTGCTGCTGTCTACCCCACGATCATCCCATAAACAACCTGAGTTTACACAATTCCTCCGTACAAAACAAAAGCAAAAATTAACACTATTTGCACACTGCACAGTTGCAATCACTAAGCAACAGCATTCCTGCACAAGGTACATAGTCTGCCCTTCCAAGACACTTGCACCAGCTAGCTCAGTTATCAACACAACATATATATACATATATATATATACACACACACACACCCACACACATACATATACACACGTATTATTTGAAGCAATTAAGATTGATTCGATATGTTTAAAATTCTTATGCTCAAAAAGAAATGTTGATTTTAGGACGAGTATCCCATTTCATTGAAGCACATCTGTTTCTTTTCTCTTGCCCTCTAACTAGATCTGCCCATGAGACGAGCTACTGGCCATGGTGTGAGTATCAAAATTTATATGCATTGGTATATACACATCTAAAGAAAGGAATTAAAAGGAAGTAATTAAAGACTAATGAGCCACTTAGCTGATTTGATTATAAAGTGAATAAGGGCAGAATACTACTCAGTGTAAAAAGCTGTGTGTTTCCGAGGGTGAAGCTTTGAAACGTAAAATTTTATTGATAACTCGAAAGAGAAGAAGATTTTGAGTATTGATTGCATGTATCATCATTGCAATCAAAAGGAAAAAAGGAAAGAAAAATTGTTCTCATCTCTCACCATTGGCTATGGAGTATTATTTTGACAATAGATGCAGCTACAACAGATACATCATGCACCACCTTATTCATATGGGTTAATGGAGATTTCCCTGGAAATTCAACTTCACAAGAATTCGCCTCCATAGCTGCGTCATTGGTGCCTCTCTCAGCGAACTTATAATCACCTGTCTCGAGAGCTTCAATGATCTCTGGCACGTCTCCTCCTATGATAACACTGTACCGTTCAGCACAAGAAGACAAGGCCTTGTGCAGTGCAGGGTCTAGTGCAAACCCATCCTGGAGGAGCTCGTCGATGAGATCGAGAGTGTCTGTTGCTTTGTTCTTGAGTACTGAATCCACCATGATTCGAGCTAGCTTCTTGACGTCTGCATTGCGGCTTTCAGGATTCGTTTTCAGAGACCAAACGCAAAGATCATAGAATGGCGTTTGCCTGCAAGTTCTCTCTATCAAATTGCCTAGCAGAAGGGTTGGACGGAAAGCTTCAGCTGGTAAGATGAGAAGGAAGACAAATATTATCAAGCTCTTCATCTTTGCTTACAATATAAGAAGAATAATAGCTAGCTCTTCTATATATATACACACTAGTGGGATTATCATGCAATAAAGATATAATCAAATAATTTGACCAAATCATCTCTCCTATTGAAATGGCTATCAATAGGGTTTGCCCTGGAAGCTCGCTCGAGCCTTGAGGAATGCCTTCACCTGAGTCTTCTCATTCCAAACGAAAAGCATGGTTAAAGACTTCATCAAATCATCATTTATCGTCTTCTTTTTAGCCTCATGGCATTTGATATATTATGATCATAATTTTTTTTTTCCTTTTTTTATAAAAGAAGATATGCATACATACATGTATACGTGTATATATATATATATAATTAATTTGATTTTGATAAAATGATAATTTTATAATTCATTTTATGATCTAATAAAGTGAAATAGACTTTAATGTTATATGTAAGTTTATTAGTGTAAGTCTTTGTAGAAAATCTTAAATCTAGATTAAGAATTCACTACGTAAAAGTAAGGCCAAGGCTAAAGTATCTGAAATTGTAAATTTGTCGTAAACCAATGGGTGGATTGTACACAACATCCTCTAAATGAACAAACTGCATTAAAATTGAACCATGAGCATAAATGACTCGTCTTCACATATTACAGATTGCAGTGCCTCCATTGCATGCTCCAATAAACATTACTTAGATGGAAGTTGTTTTATTCTTGGTGTGCTTGTACAAGAATATGAAACAACTATTCACCCACCACTTATGGGAGGTATAATGGCCAACTCATCTTTGTCCTTAACAACAGCAGACTCGGTTGTGTATTCCTCGTTCAGAGCAAGAACGATGCACCCGCGGATATCTTCCAAGTTAGGAAACTTAGCGATAAGCTTGTTTAGACAATCCTGTGTAGTACTACCAGATGAAACCTCCAATGGCAAATCAGTCAACCCGGTTATATCTCGAGCTTTGGCAAAGAACAGCACTTTTATCTGAACAGATGAGCCCTCATCAACAACAGGTGTGCCAACCAAACTATCCTTCTTAGTTTCCAATTCCATCATGCCAATAATAGAAGGCAGCAACTTGATTATCACAAGTTGAATATGTCACGGCTACAAAACCTTAAGAATTTCAATTTTAAACCAGCATTAATATTTGTTACAAACCAGGATTCATGTAATACTAAAACAGAATCACATAAATAAAAAGCATAAAGCAACTTTGCTTAACACATTAGCACTGCAGATGATTTATACAACAATCAAACCATAAGTCCCCCAACATGATTTTAAAAATGTCAGCCTGATCCCTAGCTTGTCATTTCCCAGATTCTAGAATACGAGCCCATTGTCCAGGTAGGTGAAAGAACTCTTCCATCTAACTGAAAGCAGATTTGGGTTTTAAGTACCTAAGCCTTTAACCCAGCTTCCCAAAAAGGTTTATTCCACGTACTTATATAATAACAAGAATTCAATCAGATTCTACATCTTTTTCACTGATTTCCATCATCAAAACAGATGGTACAACCCGGCAGAAGTATGTTATCTAAATTCTAAAAATTAGTCAGAAATGTCATGGAAATAAAAAGCCAGTCTAACTGCATCCACAGGAATTGGTGTGTAAATGGATAAAAGTCAGGAAGCTTAGCGATATTGTCAGAGTCCACTATCATCTACATGTATTAGGGTCAAATGCCGCAGAGATAATTCAACAAACAACCTATGAAGAATCACAAACAGCCAACAAAGTAAAGAACATGGAAACCTTAAACATTTTCACTTCAATGACATTATGTGAAAATCTCTAGGATTCGCAGCATATGCAACAAAAAGAACAGAAACATATCGATGTAATTTCATTTCTTTGCAACAAGTTTCAAAAAATTAAACCAGTCATAAAATCCAGACCAGACACTGAATATCTGAGAATTGGGTCACAGAATCAGTGGTTCGAACATTTGGTTAATCAGGTTAACTATTGGTCATAAAAATATTTAAAATCCAAGCTATACGTTAGCAAAAGATATGAATATACTTTGGATAACTTATGAAATAAAGAAAAAGTTGATACAAGCGTTTCTGTTCCAACAATATTTTCGGTTTATTTGTCTCAAACTATCATTCTCATCTTTTGTTTCTTTTTCAGCCCATATACAAGAAATAGCCCAGCAAAGTCTAAAAAATAAGCCAACTGAACACACACAAAAATACCCAAAACAGAAACTACAAAGATTGAAAAGAGTTCCTCCCAAACTTACAGAACTTCTGAAATATAAAAAGAAGGTATGTCCAAGCAAAGATACACATTTTTAAATTCAAATAAGTTAAAACTATCAAGGAGGTAACAAAGTAATTATATGCAAAATGCATACCACAGATAAAGGACAGGGAATGTGCAAAACACCTATGAAATCCTATCCATTTAACATCTCCAAAATACAAACAGAATGGTCACCAACGCACTACAAAAGCAAAACTTGATCCATGCTGACACTTATGGCAATAACTTAGGCCAGGATACTTTGTGGGGGAGGGATCTGAGCAGCATACTGACAATTTTTTCTTGTTTTTGTAAGAATATTACTTTTAATGACAAGGATCAGCTAGAAAGAAAGTAAGCAAAAAGGGAAAGAAAAAAATAAATCCCTACAGGAAAACTAGAGGATAGAAGTTGCATCTTCTTATATTATCACTAACCACTGTCATCATTATCAAAGAAAAGGAAGACCTTGAGTCAGCTTCCCTATATATCTGCTATGATTTTCAGTGCCTCAAGCTCCAACTTGATGGACGGACAGAGAAAGAGCACATGCACGGATTGAGAGAAGACGGGCAAGCCTCACAAATTTCCCCCAATTTCTTCTATTTTCCTCGTTTCTTTTGTGAGGAAAGTGATTTTTTCACTAATTTTCCCTCAATTTTTTTCCTATCCCTGCCAATCACTCGAAATGGAAATCCAAGAATTCCACTTTCGTTTTCTCTCTCGTGTTTTTCCATGAACCAAACAGAGCCTTACAGAAACACACATCGAAAGGAAAACGGAACATCACCCAACTATCAAAAGTTCTCTTGCGTTCTTTACGAATGGATTATCTCCTTAAAATTGAGAAAATTTCAGTGATTCAAAAGTGAAGTCAACCAGAGCAAAACTAAACACAGAGATCCTAAATTGAACTTGAAGAACATCAAATTCAGCATCCGCTATAAGAGAAGCATAAGAGATTATGAGATTCTAAACGTTTATGAAAGCAGGAGAAAGAGAGATTACCTGGAGGTAGGAGATGTGATGACACATTTTACTCTCCAGAGGCTGGAATGGACTGCTCGAACAAGTTCTCTGTTTATCTTCTGGACAAAATTTGGACAAATGTAATACAAAAAACTATCCACAGCTCAAGTGTGGTGATGGTATATATTCTCATTTAAGTGGCATGTGATTTTTCAATTTTACCCTTTTTCTTTTTCTCTATTAATTTTAAAATATGAAAAGATTTGATTTTTTCTATCTTAATGTACGCTAATATTAATGTAATCATATTTTGTTAATTATGATAATTTTAATAAAAAATAAAATTAAAATTGAAACAATGTAATATATTGAAAATAATTATTCATAAATTACATAATTTATATAATAAAATTATTTAAATGAAATGAATAATTAATTACCCTTATTAATTTTTTTTAATTTTAATGATCAAATTCTGTAAATTATGGTATATTTTTTATTATTATTTTTTTATCCTATACTTTTATAATTACTTAGAATTAATCAATCTTGTGAAAATAACCTCTGGATGTCCAATAATTTTGTTAAGTAACATTTAAAAAAATTTAAATTATTTAAAAAAATTTAAATAAATTTTTATATTTTATTACATTCAATTAAATATTTATATTTTTATTTTAAATTAAATAAATTTTTATATTTTTTAAATCAAATAAATTCATATAACTAATAATTGATTTAATCAAAATATTATATATTATTCTATATTACATTATCTTAATTTAATATGCTAACATATTATAATTGATAATAATATGATGTATTAATATATCATAATTAATAATAAAATAAAATATCAATTCAATATAATAAAATTATTATTTAATATTTTTTATTTTTTACATTATTATCATGTTAATGTCATATGAATATAAAATAATAAATATTATTTTAATTTAAAGTAATTAATTGATTTTTAATTATAAAATTTTTTTGATTTCAAATAAAAATATATAATTTTAATTAAATATAAATAAAAAATAAAAATTATTTAAATTTTTTTAAATAATATAAAGACTTATTTAAGTATTATAGTAAATTTATTCAATCAATTATTTTATTTTTTATTCTCATCCTTTGAATGTAAATTCATAAATTTCATTCATGTATAAAAAATAGAAATGATATAAATGGACCCCAAACCAATTTAATATATGTTGTAAATAATGTCATAGATTAATAGATGTAATAGATTTATCCCAACTTATTCAAGGGAAAAGGAAGAACTTACCTCTCTCTCTCTCGGTTTTCGTTTCTCCATCACTCTCACGCAGGTCCTCTCTCCTTTTTTTTTATCTGTTTGGTTGCCGAGAAAACGTTGGAAAGCTATAATAATAAAACTTAGGGCTCCGTTTTTGCTCGCTCGGTAAACAAAACGGAACTTTCGATTTCAATTTACGCTTATCTCTTTTAGATCTGTATTTAAATTGTAGATTCTGTTTTCTATTTTGCTGATTCTCTTATGATATTCATCATTTCTATTTAAGCTTGATTCAGTTTTTTTTTTCATTTTTTTGTTTGTTTTGATCTTTGAAGGTAACAGGTATCTGAATAATCGACACAATGGTTTCCTTTGAAATGAACGATCGAAAGAGTGAGTTGTTATGTTGATTACTGGTGCTTTCTTTGCTTCTTTTCATTCAATTAACGCATCTACGCATCTGTGATTGAGAAAAATGAGACTTCTGGTAATTAAAGTATGATTCACTATGCAATCCCTAGAAATTTTAGAGAAATAAGTGCTGTCAGTGGAAAACACAAATATCTGGATTTGGTTCTTTGATTCGCTCTATCGATTTTTAGTGGTTATGTATATTAGTTTAAGTTCATAACTGCTTGTAAGTTAGGGAAGTCTTTTAAGTGTTTAATATTGTATTTTATATGGAGGCAATTGGGGAATGATTTGAGGTGGTAATTTATTCCAGACTTTCGGAACTGTTTGATAAAGTCAAGTGGGAGGTTCTTGTGTAGGTTTTAAGAAGCCATCAAATTCATTGCAGATTTTTTATTATATTTATTTTGTTTCCAAATTAGCATTAAGAGCAGATAAAAAGTGGAAAAGTTAAACAGATATTGCAGTATGTTAAAGTCATTGGAGGTGGTTTTATTGAGCAGCAATATCAACTGGTAATTTTAAGAAACTGATGCTAGTCAAACTCCAAAACATTGTAAATGGTAGAACACAGCCAATTACATTCGATACACTTGAATAAGATTTTTAATTGATGTGCACCCATCGTTCTCATTTAAGTTTTCATCTTTTCTTCCAATATATGAGGCAGTTCAATAGGATAGTTCTAATTGTTCACACTTTTTATGTAATTATTTATTCTAGGTGAAATATGCACAATATCCGTACTTGGAGGTGCTTATGATGATATTGTTTAAGACACACAAAGTCACAAACCTTATTGCATTTGGATTTTGTGTGGAAAATGCTAGCTAAATTTAATGATATGGAATTTTCATAGGAGTATTGCAAAATGATCTTATAATATGTAAATAATATATGAGATAATTTTTTGATAATTAAGGCTTTTACCAACAAATCAGCTATGTGGGGTATTGACTATATAGTTAACTCTGATTTTGCCTGAAATATAATCTTTTTAATTATTTAAACTAAACCTGTTTGATCAACAAATTATTAATTTAGTTGTATGCGTTGTTGAGATTGAAATGTGCTTGGAGGCAAGTAGGAGTGCTTTGGTACTCTAGCATTTGATTTGGACTTTGCAATTGGAGACATGTGACTTAGTTTGTCATTAATATTTTGAGGAAAAAGGTTGAACTGGCAAATTTTATTTCATTTTTATTACGTTAACCTTCATACATATTAATATCTGAAATTATAAAAATACAGAAATTGGGCTAGGATTGACGGGATTTGGCATATTTTTCTCATTTCTGGGAATTATCTTCTTTTTTGACAAGGGGCTGCTTGCCATGGGAAATGTAAGCTAACTTTTATTGTTTTTTTGTCCTCTTTTCACAACTATTTTCATGCCTCTTCATATCACTTGATTAACACTGCATTCTTTTTTTTTTGTGCTGTTTAATCAGATCCTTTTCATATCAGGAGTGACCCTAACTATTGGTCTGAAGTCCACCATGCAATTTTTCATGAAGCGTCAAAATTTCAAGGTTTGATTTACTCTCTCTCTCTCTCGCTCTCTCTCACAGACACACACACACACACACACACACATTATGCATGCATGTCTCGTTTTATTTACAACCAGTTGCTATCGAGTGCAGGGGACAATTTCTTTTGGTGTTGGCTTCTTTTTTGTTGTCATTGGATGGCCTATCTTTGGCATGATATTGGAGGCATATGGATTTGTTGTACTCTTCAGGTCTTAATGAATTTTTCATTATGTCGATTTCATACGAATGCTTGGTTCCTGTTAATTTTTATTTTCTCATTTACGTTCACCCTTTTTTCTTTTGCAGTGGTTTTTGGCCGACACTGGCAGTGTTTATGCAGAGGATACCAATCCTTGGTTGGCTGTTCCAACAGCCATACATCAGATCGGTATGTTTAGTTTGAAAGTCAAGTAAATATTCCTTTTAACGTATAAACTGTCTACTGGATATGCATGCTTGTAATCTATTATTTCGTTAGTTCTTGGTTGGTTGTTTACATGATTTAGATCCGTGTCAAATTTTGAAAGCATCCTAAAACAGTTCTAAAATTTGGAAGGCCAGAGATTGAGATCTTGACTAATCTGAGAGTCTATGAAAGAAAGCCAACGGAATATTTAAACCTAAGTTGACATTGATATTTCTGACTAGCTCAAACAAGGGAAATCTGAAGCCATTTTTTGTGCATTTTCAATATCAACATATGAGAAACTGAATGAGCATTCCTTGGAGATGGTAACATTATCAGTTCCAAATTTTTTATTGCATTGTATCCTTGGAGATGGTCACAAAGCCTATATAGATGGCATAACAATGGTTTAGATTGGGCCTGCAACCGAAATTTATCCATTTCTTTTTCTAACTTTTGGCTTAGGTTCTGACACAGAGTATGCTTAAATGCATGGTTATAAGAAGCATATAATGGAAAAATAATAAACAGTAGAAGGAAAAAGGTTACTTGATGTTGTAATTATTTTAGGTTTTAATATGCAGAAGCCTGCATAGAGTGAACATACTTAAGAGGAACCTTCCAGGGCAGGATCTGGTTACATTTTTTAAATATAGATCTTAAGCATTTAAAATGAGTTTGCAGGACCCATTGTAGCCTGGCCAAATGGATATAGATTAACATGTTAAAGTCTTGGTTTTGGGGCAATGATCAGGCCCCATTAACAGCTAGGTGTGCTCTCAATTTCTGATGTACCCAAAAACAGGGGGGGTGGGGGGGTATCGAAACATTCTTTGGGCAAAACCATGGGTTGATGCATGGAGTTACCTCTGATTAAGTCAACTTAGGTGGAGATGCCATTTGTTTGTTCCCTTTATCATGTGAGCATTACCATCATCTACAGGGTTTTGGTTATGCCAATGGTATGGTGCTAAGAGTCAACTGAACATTTCTTCTAAATGAGTTTAAAATGTCAGTTTAATCAGCATTGACTTGAAAATATGAGCCATGAGTCTTATGTATAACAAACAATTATCATTCTTTGTACACTATATGCAAGGAGTACTTTTTCATAACAGGCAACTGCTCTCTCTCATATTTTCCTCCCATTGAGCCTTTTGGAAGTGTTTTATGTTTCGGGGTTAAATTTTGTCATCTTTGTAACTGAATTGATTGATGGGCCTTTATATCTTTCGTGTGAAAATCTTGCTGGGATCATATAATTGTAGTTATCATCTGTATGTATCTAATTCAGCTAACAAATTGCTAAGTTCCAGGTCAATGGCTTGGATCACAGCTCATATGACCGTTAATCCACTCTTCAAGATTGTCTTTTAAGGAAATTATTGATATAACTCTGGTCCTCTTTTTTTTGTTGCAGTTGTTCGACCGATATCGGGGTAAGCGGGTGCCTGTATAACCCCACATATCAGAGAAAGTGGAACAAGTTGCAGGCTAGTTCACTTGTAAGTCTTTGTAGAATACTGGTTGGAAGAAGACTACTTTTTTTTT